ACTCATAGCGACCCCTCCTTGGGTTGCTGAGGCAGTATCACTACGGCAGTAGATTGCCCAACCTTCCTTCCGAGGAGTAGCTGGTGGTTTGAACCACCAGCTTTCTGATTAGCAGTCAAGTGCCTTAGGCACTATGCTACCAGAGCTCCTCCCAAACAGAATAGACCCTCTCAAGAAATCACCAAGACATAACATCATCAAACTCATCAAAACCAAAGACAAAGAATTCTGAAAGCAGCACAGGAAAAACAAAAAGTTACTTACAAAGGACAACCAGTGAGAATAAGCTCTGATTTCTCAGCAGAAACCATGCAAGCGAGAAGGCAATGGAATGGGATATATAAAACACTGAAAGAGAAAAATTTTCAACCAAGGATTATATACCTGGCAAAATTGTCCCTCAAATATGACAGTGAAATTAGGCGATTGACTTTAAAAATAGCCTTTTTGGAGGCGGGGGGAAGAAACTACTATATTGAATAAACACAACTACTACATATGCAGTCTAATTTCAGAAATGTGAAAATGTAGAAGAAATGCATCTGATAATCAAAGAAAAAGAATGCATTTAGATTTTCTCCTGGAAGATAATTATTCTAAGAGCAAATCTTTACTTTTACAAATTGCCCTTGTGGGATGTGGAAGAGTTATATTGGGCAAAATTGCTAATTTTACAAGTAAGGTAGTTTAAATTCTCAAAGCATTAAGTGTTAAACAAATGCACAGTAAATGCTACTTATTGGGTAACTTTCTTTTATTTGCACTATGTCACAGGCAACTTTCTTTTATTTAAACTATGTCACACAATATCATATACATTCACATCTAAAAGCTGGACAAACAAGATGGAAATAACTTTCCACCTCTTCCTGGTAAAAACAAAAGCAGAATGAGTTTTTCAACTTCATTTCCTGATGTTATTCTACTCACTAAAACTCACTGCCGTTGAGTCAGATCCAACTCATAGCGACCCCTCCTTGGGTTTCCAAGGCAGTACCACTATGGAAGTAGATTGTCCCATCTTCCTTCCAATGAGTGGCTGGTGGGTTTGAACCACCAGCCTTCTGGTTAGCAGTCAAATGCCTTGGGCACTACACCACCAGAGGTGGGGGGGGGGTGGTGGATTCTCTGATCAAGTAACTTTAGGAAACAAACCAAACTTAAACAAATTTCCTTTATTTTGAGAGACTTTAAGATGCTAACAGGCATTGTGTCTCTCCAAGAGGACAAGGTTATAGCCCATGTTTCTAAATTCAATTGTCCAGCCTCTTCTCATGGTCTGTCTGTCATGTGGAACTAGTAGTCCATGGAATATGCTTTGCAGAACATGCTGGTGTATCCTTACCTCTGTACATGTCACGGTACTCTAACCAACCCACAATGTACTGGCATTGTTTTTGTTGTTGTTATGTGCCATCGAGTTGGACCCGACTCATAGCGACCCCTCTTTGGGTTTCCGGGGCTGTATCACTACAGAAGTAGATTGCCCATCTTCCTTCCGAGGAGTGGCTGGTGGGTTTGAACCCGCAGCCTTCTGGTTAGCAGTCAAGTGCCTTAGGCACTATGCTAACAGAGCATTTTATTTGCAAATTTCATTTTCAAGTTAAACTCTGAACCTACTCTTAATATCTTGTTACCTGAGCAATTTTTGACATATTGTGTACAAGAACATGTCCTTTCCCTTTAGAAAATCTAGGTGAAAGATCCTCTCTTCCAGGAAGCCTCCGAAGAGGAGTAAGCGGTCCATTTACTAATTTATTGCCCAGAGTCCCCCTTTACTCTTTTCCTCTGACTACTAGTAAAAGAAAATGCACCCAAGGCAAACACAACTGCTTGCCAATCCTGTTTTATTGGATTGTTTAAGCTTATTGTCAGCTCTGTATAGAGACTAAAACACTATGGAATTTAAAAAGCAATCAATCCTTTCATCAAGAGGCACACAGCATGTGTCCATCTATCCCTGCAGGCTTGTCTATTTTGTATGTAATTAGTCTAGGGAAATAATAGCGTCTTTCTTTATAAAATTTTATATCTGCATTCACATATCCTACAAACCCACTGCCATCAAGTTGATTCTGATTCCTAGAAACACTACAGGACAGAGTAGAACTGTCCCATAGGGTTTTGAAGGCTGTAAATCTTTATGGAAGCAGACTGGATCATCTTTCTCCCACAAAGTGGATAGTGGGTTCAAACCACTGACCTGTTGGTTAGCAGCCAAACAATTTAACTGTGTGCTTCCAGATCACCTATATCCTACAAGTTAGTGGGAAATTTCTGTATTTCAATTCATTTTTTCTATTTTCCCTTTTTAAAAACCTCATCATTTTTTCTGATAAACTCACTGCTCACTCTATTTGCTGTTTATGATTTGTAGCTTACTGTCAACAGCAAATACAGCTTTCAAAGGGGTCTTCAAAAAATTATGTTTTAATATATGAGGGTCAATTATAATTAATGTAATTGTATATAGAAAATTGGCTTAATTTGATAATAGTTAATAATTGAAATGATTCACAGCCTAAAAAGAGGCAAAATTAACAAAACCTTTAATTAAATATACTAATTGCTTCCAAATAAATACAGTAACATAAAATAATTGTTAACTAAAAGAGTTTAAGTAGCTATCCTTATTTTAGAAATAGTTCCCTGCTTTATGGAGTAGACTCAATACATATGCAATAATGAATACACTAATACTAATACTCTTATCCTACTTCCGTAGTGATACTGCCTCGGAAACCCAAGGAGGGGTCACTATGAGTCGGGGCCGACTCGATGGCACACAACAACAACAACAACAATACTAATACTCTTAGTTTTAAAAATGGCCTCTTACTAAGCTTACATTATTCACTTATTTAATAAACCCTTTTCATAGAGTGTACAAATAAAAATTTGCGCATATTCTAGGCCGAATTAACAAAAAATAATGTTTTGGAGAATGGTTAAAAATGAAAATTTCAAGTTAACTATTTAGGTTAATTGAGAGTTATCACTGATCACATACAGATTACCATTCATTCTTAAGTCTCATAAACTGTAGTTAACTTGAAGGCTAGATGGAGCATTAATTTAAAATTTGCTGATTCAAAGACGCTCTTCAAAATCTTACACCACCACATGAACATAAAATCTGAGCATAGAGTTGTAGTTCGGTAGAGTTAGGACTGAAACTGTCCTTCAAATATGACACATTCTCAACTTCTTTAAAAATTCATAAGATCTGGTTATCTGTCATATTATTTAACCACAAAATATTTAAAAATATTAAGAAGA